CTGAGGAATGATGACTGGGGTTTTCCTTCCCTCTTTGTGGTTGTGTATTGACTGTAACGGGGAGCCGCGCCTCCGCCTGGTGGGATTTGTTTCGGTTCGGCCTCCTTTTCTTTCTTTAGCAGGAGGGGTAATGGTCAAGTCGAAGGCGCTAGAACTCCTAAAAAATGTGAGCGCCTGAAGTGGGCTTGGCACAGGCGGGGATGCGGCCACGGTGTAAATAGCTCCGGGTAGGCACAGAGGGACTCCAGCGGGTTCCGAAAAGTAAGCAGCACGAAACTCGTGCTAAGAGTCTGAAAAGTAGACTGGCTACATGGAAAAGGAGGGAGGGAGAGGAGAAAGCAGCGGGGGAAGGAGGGAGGGAGGGAGGGAGAGGGAGGGGTGGAGTGGAAGAGGGGAAGAGGGGAAGAGGAGAGAATAAAGAGGGAGGGAGAGAGGATGGAGAGAGAGGGAGAGACAGAATATTGCAGGTATTCCTATCTGCCTAGTTTTTCTACTCGAAACTATAGGAGAACCCGAAGCCCGGTGGAAGGCGCCTATTTAAGTCGGGAGGAAGGTTGAACTTTAACAGAAATGGCAGTCGGGCCAGTTGAACGGGTTCCTGAAACATCCAAAAAGGTTTTCTGTTGCCCCTGGTTTTGCCGGGAAAGGATAAGTTTAGTGTACTTCAAGATTGTTTGCATGTATTTTAAATTGAAGTGAAAATCACGGGCTGCACGCGCACTAAAGAGGGAAAGGCTGCACAAGGCAGGGAAAGCCCCCATCTCGCCTCGGTCCTTTGATACATAAGCATAATCTCCAGTATGCGTGAAAGTCGGCCAACGTCACTGTAAACAACTGGGCCCACCGGTTTACTCTGCTCTCCCCTCCAAAGGGTGAGGCAACGCCTTTTTAAATTTTTTTATTAGTATTATTTTTAATCTGCACACGAAGCACGCAGGGCGATCAAGTCTTCCCATTAGGAAAGTCCCTCTCCAGGAGCAGGACACCTACGTTGCGCACAAGCCCCCAGCGATGCTCTCTCCCTCGCCGCCTGGTCGCAGGGAGCAGGGGCTGCTTTACGCGCGTCCCCGGCTCAGTTAATTGAAGTTCTGCCTCTTTCCTGCTAAACTTTTTCCCCGGTCTGCCTTTGCCAGCCCCCTCGTCTGATTACATCTAGTAATTCTCCACTGAATGAACGTCATTTACAATAGTAGGGGAGCTCTGCGCCCGCTGCTGCTTCACGCTCCATTTGTCCTCCATTCTCCCTTTAAAGTACTCGTGTAATATTAATAGTCATGAATATCAATTATTATGAGGCGGTGTAGGCAAGCGGAGGGAGGAAGGGGCGCCCGAGCAGTCTGAGCCCAGCTTCGGGCGGAAGAGGACTGCCTCTGCAGCCTCGGAGAACCGCCGAAGAGAAAAAGGCCGAAAAGACAGCAAGAGACCGATGAACAGCTCTGTCTGTGTGTGACAGGCGTCGGCAATCTTGTTGGGGGGTAATTTTTTTTTGATGGCTTGTCCTGGAAACACCTCAAGCTCGGCTCCTGTGTCCAGCCCGTTTCTCTGCTGGACTCCTTGATTTTTTTTAATCATTGTTTGATTTTTGAGCAGTAACCAGGCTTTTTTTTCCAGATGTTAGTCCACACCTATTCATCCATGGTGAGTTTGGATTCACGTTATACGAGAATTGCATGCTCCCTCCTCTCACCGTCTCTCTGTCTCTGTCTCTGCGTGTGCGTCTCACTCTCCCGTCTCTGTCTTCCTTCGAGCGCCTTTGGCTTGGTAATTTAGCACCATAATTGGACGAGGCTGCAGCTGCTTCTCTGCATTGTGTGTTTGTCTGAGCTCCATGAGTCAGCTGGGGAGGTGGGGGGGGAAGGCCAAAGAGGAAAACTTTTTATTTGCCACTGCAGTTTGGAAATTTAGGTGACTGTTTCTCCAAAAAGAACCATGGGGACTTTACTGTGGCATTTCTACAGAGGAGAGGAAGAAACAAGACCCCCCCAACACCCCCCCCCTTCTCCTTTCACTTCGTTTAGCACTCCCATTAGGACCAACAATAAGTTGTCTGGGCCTTTTGGGTTTGTTTGTTTTTCTCCTCCCCACCCTAAGTCCTTCATTTTCACACCCTGGAGTTTAACAGTCTTAAATGTAGGAAAGTCACCTTAGAAATCACTCCTGCACACCACAGCTCAACTTAATTTGACAGGGACTCAGGATCTGATTTTGAATGAAGTCCATTTCCAGCAAACACTCCATAAAGGATTTCATCCCTGCTGGGGAGGCAGGGGTGCCTGGAAACTCAGATCAGGCAGATTCCTGTATCTCCTGAAATTACCAGGTTGTGTGGGGGTCAGCCCGGCTGGCTTGCCAGGGAGACAGAAGTTGGTTTGGAACAGGAGGAACAGCCAGGCAAATAGTATGAAGTTTGATTTGTTATGCTTTGGAGCTCTGAAGAGTTAGAAAGAAGTAGTTTAAAACACCCAAAAGATCAAAATGCCATAGTCAGACTCCTGTATTTTTCATTAAGGAATTTAGACTCTGTCCCCACCCCCACCCCCACCATACACACAACCACTTTACCCTCACTTTTTTTGCTAGCTTTGCCCCCCTCCCAACAGAAGGCTTAGATGCTGGTTAGGCGGGTAATTCTCCCCCATCTTCCCCCCAAAGCCTCGCGTTTGGAATTGCTGAAAGCGCGTACCCTCTGAACAAACTTGGGAGTGCGAGTTTCAGACTCTTGTTCCCCTGTCCCGGGAAAAAGATCCTGAAGCTGGGCTTCTCCATTTGTCGCTTGTATTTTTCCCCCTCCCTCTCTCTGTCTCTGTCTGTCTCTCTCTCTGTCTCCTGCACTCTCTCCCAGGACCGGCACGATGGCGTCCCGAGTCACAGCTCGAGGCTCTCCCAGCTGGGTTCGGTGTCCCAAGGACCTTACTCGAGCGCCCCACCGCTGTCCCACACCCCGTCGTCCGACTTCCAGCCACCCTACTTTCCGCCCCCCTACCAGCCGCTGCCCTACCACCAGAGCCAGGACCCCTACTCCCACGTCAACGACCCCTACTCCCTGAACCCCCTGCACCAGCCCCAGCAGCATCCCTGGGGGCAACGGCAGCGGCAAGAAGTGGGTTCAGAAGCCGGCTCTCTCCTGCCCCAGCCTCGGGCCGCCCTGCCCCAGCTCTCGGGCCTCGACCCCCGGAGGGACTACCACTCGGTCCGCCGGCCGGACGTGCTGCTGCATTCGGCGCACCACGGCCTGGACGCGGGCATGGGTGACAGCCTCTCGCTGCACGGCCTCGGCCATCCCGGCATGGAAGACGTCCAGGTAACCGCGCGCGCACACACACACCACACACACACACACACACACACACACACACACGACGACGATGACAACAAAACTAACAAGTCGGCCGGTAGGGGGAGGGGCGCGCGCGCACACACACACCACACACACACACACACACACACACACACACACACGACGATGCACAAATAACAAATGCCCTGGGAGGGGGAGGGGCAGCTCTGTCTCCTTTGGTTGGGGGGGGTTGTTCCCATCTTTAGAACAACCGGACACGAAACGTGTAACTGTGTGTAGACGTGTATGGCTCTCCAGTGGCGATTTCAGGAGGTCCGATGATAAAAGCTAGAACCACCAGAAATTACATCATGAAGGAAAAAAGTACATGAGTGTTTTGCTCGTTTAGGATCTTTGGCATCAAGGCTAGGTGTTTTTGTTTTGCCTGAGCCATCGGACTCCCTCTTGTTCGCTTGCGCTTTGTGTAAGCAAGCTGGCGACCGTCCTCAACCCGCCCCCTCTGCGCGTCCCATAGTGAGCCTGGCCCCTGACATGGCAGGTGGGGCCCTGGCTGCCTGGAGGCCGAGGCCTGAGATGCAGCTTGGAGGTGCAGGGTCCTCTACAGAGGTTCCTGATGGCTTTGTAAAGACTTTGTTAGGCATGACAGTGTTGACTGGAAGAAAAACACGTGCTATTTTGTCTAAGCCAGGTCTTACTTTGAATGTCCCATAAGCTATAGACCCCTTTTCCAAAATAATTGAGTTCCAGAGTCATCATCCAAGAAGTGGAATATTTCTGGGGAGAGACCCAGAAAGCCACAATTCTGTTTGGGAGTCCATGAGGACATGTACCATTTTAGAGATTCTTTTCACCTTTTGGACCATTAAACGACTGTGGAGCACTATTCTCCACATCCCTCTGCAGTCGTCTTCCCCCTCCGCTAAATACCTTCCTCTCCCTGGAGTCACCATCCCAGTTGAAGAGGCATCACATGCTTGTTTTTTTTTAAAACAAAAGGCTCCAAACACTACCGCCCCCCACCACTATCCCATCTGCACTCTGCACAATGGAGCCTGATTTGGTTGCGAATGCTTGGTTAAACTAAACAAAGAAACATCAAAGAGATGATTTCTAAAAACTGTCCGGGTGATTCTGAGCAGGTCTCCTTTTGCTCCCTAATTTAAATAGTCTCCAGAAAAGATAAATAGGGTTGAAAGGTATTTAATTGACCCTTCGGTTTCATTGGCATGATTGTATATATTATGCATCATTTTAGACATACCTCTGAAGCAAAAAAAAAGAAAGAAAAGAAAAGAAATGGGGAAGGGAAGGTGTGCATGAGTCCCTCTGCTTTACCTTGCTGAACAAAATGTCTTTAGAACAGTTAAAGTGTGGTGGCAGCACCAAATCCTGTCTCTCTGTGGTCTATGATGGTTTACTGCTTTAAAGGAAATTCAGTTATTTAATATTTCCAAAGATTTTGGAATCACCTGAGTTGTGGCTGGATGTACCCACGCTAATAAGAATGATAGTTTTGTTGATTTAACGGAGCTTAACTGTCCCTGTCTGGGCATACTGCTCATTTCAGAATATCATATGAGAAAGGGAATATTTAATAGTTTTCTTTTTAATGCATTGGGGTAATATGTGTCCGGGGGGGCAGTTTTTAAATTAACCTTTCTGGGTACGGTTCAAAGTGCTAGATAATGAAAGTGCATCAACTCATCACCATGGCTGTTGGCTGTGCTGCACTGGCTCTCAGCGCCACCCTGTAGGCCCAGTGGCTTAGGCGCTGAACCCAAGAATTCTCCTAAAAGAGGAAACAGATTTCTTTGGTTTTAGTTGTGTGTGTGTGTGTGTGTGTGTGTGTGTGTGTGTGTGTGTGTGTGTGTGTTTAAGATAGAATTGTGAGGGTTTGGAGTGTTTGGTGAAAGGCAAAGGCCAAGAGAAAAACAGGGCCAGGTCAGTGTGCATTTTGGAGGACGCCCTGGTCAAAGCGGCACGCGGCGGCGGAGTTGCAGCCGGAGCTTGGCCCGCGAGGGTGGGGAGAGCTCAGAGCAAAGAAGGCGCAGGCCCCGGACCTTCGCCTCTCCCCGCCCGCCCGACCTCCGCCCAGTTCCTCCTTGGAAGCATCCCAGCAGGTCGTCTGGAGAGGTGGGGAGGCCCGCGGGACTTTCTTGGTCGACCCTCAGTGCAAGGGGTCGCGCGGGATACACCCCGCGCCTGTCCCAGGAGGGGAACCAGAGGGGCAGGAGCGAGCCGTCCCCGCCGGGATGACAGGCCTCCTGAGGCCGGAGTGTTCTTGACGCGACACGGGGCAGGTGACAAAGAAAGATAGGGGAGGAAGGAGATGGACCTAGGAGCAGACCCTCGAATCCAGGGGCTGCGCCTTTTCTGTTCAATCCGGGACTTCCGAGTTAGGGATCTGGAGCGCGGGGCCTAAAGTTGCAGGAGCTGGTCGGGCTTTCCGCGTTTCCTGCGGCCATGGGATGGGTGGGGTGTAAAAGGGACCAGAGGTGCCACGGCCTGGGCCTTAGTCCCTTGTTCCATCTCAAAGGCCTAGCGTGGGTTCCGGATCCCCTACCCCAACCTACCGCAGACGAGGAGGATCCCAGGGCGCTGCCGGGCGGGAGGGCCTCACAGCCAGGGGGACTCACCTGGCCCAGGGTTGGGAGAGGATGTTGTGTGACCCAGACACACACGCGGGGCCACCGCCCCGACCGTGAGAGAAGAGACAGAGGAGAGCTAATTAACCAAATGCTTCTAATATTTTTTTTAAATGAAACTATAAAACCCTGTCAATTTCTATTTCAATTTACTCACAGGGGCTATTAAACCAGCAAATCGCTGTTTGGATTCTGGGTATGCTGCATTTCACTCACTGTGTGTGTGTGCGCGCGTGTGTATGTGTGTGCGTGCGTGTGTGCGGGTGGGGGGGCAGTATTAAAAACTCAGAAAAAGCAGCATCAGAAAGAGAGAGATGACACCTAGTTTGGAGTTTGTTCAATTGCTGTGAATACCTCTTTTCTTCTTCTGATCTTTGCTCTCTAACCTCTCATCACCTCTGCTCCCTAAGAGTACAAACATAAAGATGTTAAGTCAGACCCCTGCCACACACACACACACACACACACACACACACACACACACACACTACAACACA